TGTACAGCTCGACATAGAAGGCTCTGGGTCAATTAGATCCTGGATGAAGCCAGAGCCTTCTATGTCGAGCTGTACACCTCACAGGGCATCCAGGGGGACTGTGTGGAAGAGATCATGGCCGGCATAAGCAATCAATTGAGCAAAGAGGACAGGGACTTCTGTGAGGGACAGCTTGGTATCACAGAAGCGCAGGAGGCGATCGTCCAGCTCAACAAGAACAAGAGCCCGGGTTCAGATGGCCTGACGGCGGAATTCTTCCAATTCTTTACACCCTCTCTTTCGCCCATGCTGCACAGGCTGTTTGAGACGATGCGGAAGGAGTAGCGTACACCTGCCACCCTGGTAACTGACCTTTTAACCCTGGTTTTTAAGGGGGGGAGGAGGCTGATTTAGCTAATTACAGGCCCATCAGCCTGCTCAACACGGATTACAAAATGCTGGCAACGGTGCTGGCGAATAGGAAGAAGTCTGTGATCTCTTCTGTAGTAGGTCCGACACAGGCATATGGCATTCCTGGTCGGGATATCTTAGATACGATTTTAACAGTAAAGTATACGCTACAAGAGATGCAGAGGGTGGGAGGGATCTACCTCGGCTTGGATTTTAACAAGTCCTTGGACAGGGTGGAAGATGGCTTTATGTGGGAGGTTTTAGACCGGTTTGGTTTAGGACATCAATTAATACAGTGTCTCAAACTGCTGTACAATAATGCACAGGCACGGATAAGAAGCAACGGAACCGTGAGCAGCCCCTTCCATCTGGGCAGGTCAATCTGGCAGGGCTGCCCTTTCTCCGCACTACTCTACAGCCTGGTGGCAGAGCCCCTTGCCAATGCATTAAACAAAAACCAGCTTATAAAAGGAACCGACAGGTGAAGCTGATGCAGTATGCGGATGACACAAACATCGTGGTCAATACTGAAGCTGATCTCCACAGAGCACTGGGGTTAATTGACATTTATTGCAGGGCCTCAGGGGCAAAGGTTAACACCAAAAAATCTATGGTGATGTACTGCGGTGAGGAGGTGCAGACGCCAGGCAGGTGGGACTTTCAGCATGCGGAGCAGAGTGTGAGGGTCCTGGGGGTGCAGCTCGGGGTTAAACAAACAGCTGCGAGGGATGCTGTGTGGGAGCGGCAGCTCCAGGGAGTGACGACCATTCTCGGCTTGTGGAGGATGAGAGATTTGACTCTGAATGGCAAGGTGGTGGTCACAAACGCTCTGGTGATGTCCAGACTCAACCATGCCATGGCTGTATATGATCTTCCCTCTGACGTAGTGACCAAGCTGGACAACAGCAGGGTAACCTTTCTGTGGAAGAGTTCAAGGAACCTTGTTGCTCATAAGACATTGATTTGGGAGAGGACAAGGGGTGGCCTAAATTTGGTGGACCTAAAGTCCAAGAATTATGCTTTTAAGATAAAACTTATAAGAAAATTCCTGGACCCCAACCATGTTGCGGGGTGGAAGGACTTCTTTGGGGATGTGCTGAGTTCTCTGGGCCCACACGACCAGCTGGGGCGGTGCCAGGTCCTGAAAAAGACCCATACAGCTGTTTGAGATGACTTTCATAGAGAGGTGCTGGAGGCGTGGTCCAGCGTACGGCCCTCTCTGAGAACCAAAGTGACGAGCAGAGACTTCCTGATGAATCTCCCGGTGTTTCATAATCCGGAGGTTGCCCCACGTGGGACCCCTTTTAGTAGTCCCATCCTCCTGTCTGCAGGCACAGGCCTGCAGACAGGAGGAGATATTTTAAACAGCGAGGGTCATGTGCAAGGCTGGATTACGGACTGGGCCAGCGGCGCCGGCGCCGGGCCCAAGACCAAAACTGTTTCAACATATACGATACAATACATTGTTATTTCATAGGGCATCTGATCAACACAGGGAGGGAGTGGGGCCCTCTGACACAGTGTTACCAAGGGCCCTTTGAGGGTTTGGCAGGCGGGGTACACTATGCCAAATCACTTTGGACGTGTTCCACATAACATTCCATGACTGCACAACCAAAATCTCACTTGCACTCACTTTCAGTCAAAAGATATCACACTTTCCATGAAAAATCCAGGAATAAGCAGCATTCGCGATGATATGCGCAAAACAGGATTTTGCTATAACTTCCCAGAAATGAATACAATCTAGGTCAAATGACTTTCAAAGTGTTAATTAGCACATTCCCTGACTTCTCAGAAAGATTCACACTGGTACTAACTTGCTGTCAAAAGATATTACACCATCAATATTCCAAAAATCACTGAGATATACATCAAACAGGATTTTTGTGTAACTTCAAAGTAATCATTCAAAACTATGCCAAATCACTTTGGACGTGTTCCACATAACATTCCATGACTGCACAACCAAAATCTCACTTGCATTCACTTTCAGTCAAAAGATATCACACTTTCCATAAAAAATCCAGAAATAAGCAGCATTCGCGATGATATGCGCAAAACAGGATTTTGCTATA